TGCTATGGAGGATGGAGGGACATTAAAGTGCTCGTTGATGGGTAACGTCTGGGTCACAATTAACTCCCTTGCTCTGCTTTCATCTGTACTGTATTCACTAGTGCCAAACCAAGTGGACACAAAGAGTCTTATTTTCTTTCTTTAACCTGTAAATGAAAATCTGGTCACTTTTTACACACAATTCTTTGAAAGTTTTTCTATTTGAAAAGAAGCAAATTGGTTTTCCCCAGTGTCCCATTGTAGGCTTTCACTGAGAACTGCCAAGTGATTCTGTCAAACCTGTCAGATAAGGCAAAAACTAATCTTCCTTTCACAAAGTCGAAACTACACCCGTGTTGTGAAGTTGTTGTTTTTCTTTTCAGACTCTACAAAACCTAAGATTTGTCTTTCTTTGCTTCCCCATATTTTACTCTTTGAGTATTTTTTGATGTTCAGAGCTAGTTGAAAGAGAAAAAAAAGTGCGTTCATTATCCCTTTACCTGCTTCTAAAATGTTATTTTAGATTTTCTGTCTCACCTTATCAATCTACTGTAACTTTCTTGCGGTGTGTCACTCTCAGTTTGACCTCTGCCACCAAAAGCCTGCTGTTTTCTGTCTCTGCATTTTCTGCACGTCTCACATTGACATAGTTTGAAAACCTCTCACTGGTCTGATTTAAACATTAAGCAGCAGCTGTTTTCTCTGTGTGCGGTATGTCCACAGGCCAGCAAGGTGTCTGATGCTAATGTTGAGTGTTTGTATCTGATTCTCCCACTGTGTTTGCTCTCAACAGGTTTTTTATCATCTCATTCCCCTGCTGTCTATACTCTCAGTAGGTTTTCATTATCAGATCCCCCTGCTGACTCTCTGCACGCCTTCCCCTCTCTTCTCTGTTTTCAGGGCTTTTTCTTGACCGTGCATTATCGACCGAACGCAACCGAAAGCTTCTCTCTCTAAATGTATGCACTCAATATTCTGCACTGCACCCGATCTGTTGAATGTAACATTATAACCTCATCCCCAGGCACTTCTGTGTTACACAAATTGGTCTCAAACGACTACTGTGTGTTGAATCACAGTTGCTTTAACCCACCCCTTACTCTTGACTTAAGTAAAGCCAAGAACAAATTTCGCTTCGAACCGTAGAGCAAATTTTAACCTAGTGTCTAGAAAATCTGGGCGCCATCAGAGCACTCCATGCATTGTGTGTGTGTGTGTGTGTGTGTGTGTGTGTTTGTAAAACCTTATACAACAAAAAAGTAGCAGACCAAAGTAGATTTTGAATGTGCTTATCTGGGGACCTTTATAGCCTCCTCTTCTTTATATGCCAATCAGATGCTTTTGTCTCTCACAATGCAAGCTTTACTTTACATGAGCACAGCAAACTATTGCCACCTACAGCGACTGCCTGGCAACGTTGTTGTTCTGTCATTTGAATTAGCAGCAGCTCCCGGATACTTCAGATTATAATGGCATGCACAGCGCAAGCTGTTGATATACTTTATCTGAGACAATGTATGAGGAGGAGACATGGCTCAAAGAATCCTGAATAAAAATCCATGGGACAATTCTGAGTGGCTGTTGGCTCACCCCTGCCCCCCAAAAAGCCAATCAAGCGTCAAATGGGAAACATATTGGCTAATTTTCTTGCTACACCGATACATGCGCAAAGCAGATTGTTACAGCTGGCACATTTCTACATCTTTAAACATGATTACTGTAGTAAAGCTGTAGGTAACTGTAGTGTTCTTTAATTTTTATCAGCTTGCTGTATCCATCATGCAAATAAGCATGGTATTTGATCCCAGTTGTTGTTTTTGTGGGAGAAGCCGAGACACTTTTAATGTCAGCACTCTGGTTTGAGCAGTAAATAAAGGTGTAATGTTGTGAAACAGTGCAGTAGGAATATAACTGGTGGAGGGAAAAGACTTTTGGTGGCCAAAATAAGCGAAGTTTTAAAGCAGTTTTCTTTAAAGTACCACCACACTTTATATTTCACGTGGCAGTGACCACTGAAATAAAAGCTGTCTCCTCATTCTACTAGATAGGAAGTTTCAAGATCATTGCCAAGTTACAAAACTTGCTTCTGGTATCACATTCACATGTCTTGATAAAACCATTAGACTAGCTGATGGGTTCGGAAATCCATCAGCCATCCTGATTTAATTGTAATTTAGCTCCTGGGGTCCAATATTTCAAGACTTCCAGTTTAGGAAATCACATCTCTGCCCTCGGAAGCTAAGTCATTACTGGGTGATGACCAGCAGTTGTTAAATGCAGATATCGTTCCTCTTTCCCTCAGTGTGATACTACAATTTTTGTGGTTTTGCAGGTTTCCAGTGTTTACACAGTGTTTTAGTGTGTAATGATAAAAACTGATGGACAAAGATGCACATAGTAGCAAAAGCAGTCAAGTGGCTAAACTGAGAACCCACACAAACAGAAAAACATTTCAGCTCAAAAGCGTAATTGCTTGTCATTGCAGTTCATTTTAATGTTTTTGTCTTTCTGAGATTTTTACTTCCTTTTTCTCCTCTTCTGCTTGACCCAGTAATACCCAATGTTCCTCAGAAACTTTTCTGAAAGAGAGAGAGAGACCGTAATGCATCACATACTGCAAGAATTTCACTTAAATAAGCATTAGAGGGGATAAAATTCTTTATATTATATTATATATTTTCACTTAATCCACGCTTCTACATTTCACTGTGAAATAAATGCATTTTTAAACCCCCTACATTTAACAGACTTTAAATATTTCTGTTATTATTTAAAACCACTTGAGAATAAATACATGTAAAACCAAAGTGACAAGTCAATTAATTTATAAGCCATTTGACAGACTTTAAATTGAACTGATCTAATCTAGGTCTCATCTATGAAAAATACAGGTGAACTTCACATTTAAAAATATTGTTTAAATTGAGCATTTTTCATTTTTACTACTTTAAACCATTTATTATCATATTTAAAAACATTAACTTGCAGCAGTTTTAGTGCAGGACTCGTGTGATGTGTAGTACTTTGACAGTCATATTATGTAGGATCTGAAAACTTTTTAGCACTAACAGAATGTTTTGTGCACAATATATTACAATTGTTTTCACAGCTTCACTTCTTTTCATATATCTCTTCTGCTCTTTTCCTTTATCAGTTTCAGACGACTAAATGATACTAATTTAGTTTAGTTAAACTAATGATGATACTCATCAAAACTGCAGAATAACCAACTGTGTTAACTCCCGTGGCTCTAAAGTGAGCTATTAAGTTGTCTAATAACATCACAGGTAATTGCTATCATACTCACTCTCCTGGTTGCTCGTTGTCTCTCCTATCATGTTGCATAGCTCAATTTCTTTGAGCCTGATGCAGAGCTCACAGATATCATCCGCCTCGCTCCATGACGCTACAGTAGGATCTTCTTCTGCCGCACTGAAAACATCCAGAGGCTGGTAATCAGGCACCGGCAAAATGTTTGATGTCTTCCAGGCTGCCGGAGCTTCGAGCTGCTGATCAGCACCATCATTCAAGTTGTTAGCAGAGCAGTCGTTTCTGGAACTGATGGGCAAAGAGTTTTTCTGGTTTGGCGCAGGGTCAAAGAAAGGCCAGGTTTTCTTGTTGTCTGTTTTGTCGTGGATAGAGGGGAAATACTTGGCAGCTGCCATTTTGCTCAAAGAGTACATTGTTATTGTTTAAATTCAAATTGGGAGATATCCATATTAGCTATTCCAGAACAGGAGTTTCCACAACATGGTGCCCGACTGTTGCCTGGTTTGATGAAAACCCAACTGACAACCCAACAATCACTGACCATGTATCCAGAGTACCCTCTGTAGCACAATGTCATTTTTAAAAAAAAAACCACACACAGGCTGATATTCTTCTTCAGTTTAAAATAAAGATGGACACTGTAGCTTCTGCATTTGAAAAGGGAAGCTAGCGCATATGTGCCTAAAACCTGCATTATTTTTTCCAGTTGCCAGAAGGGGGCACGTCTTCGGGTTTAAAAACAAGTCCGATTTTATAGAGGTCTATGGGAAAGCAACCCTTTGCTCACTGATCTATGGCCACAGAAGTGTCTCAGTCAGAAGTTACAAAGCTTATTTAAAATAACGTGAGGATCATGTTATAAATGATGGTTTCCATCTGACTTAAAAAGGAGAACAAAGCAGAGCATGCTTTAGTTTGGTGAACTTGTCTCACAAATACATTAAGTATGCTTATACCACAATTTTCCTTTTGCAGACTCACCTTCGCTGGGTGCCACCTGTCCTTCTAATGTATCTGCAGCATCTCAAAGAGATGAGCACCAATGTTCCCCAGGCAGCCAAGTACAGGGCACTTGTGGAATACATTTTCAAGACAGTAATGAGATGCTAATGCAAACACTTGTCATGTCTTGGTGACAATTGAAAAAATCAACTTAAAACAACGAGATAATCAAAGATTGTGGAAAATATGCTTGTTTGATTACTTACAGAGCTGGGTGAGAAGATTGATGATGCTCAGCTCTTTGTGTGATAGCAAATGTAAAGCACAGTCACTAGCTGATTAGGTTAGCCTGGGTCTTGGCAGTACTTCCTGGAGTTGTACACATGTTGCCCCTCATTTCTCCCCAAGAAATGTAAATACAGCTTTATATGAGATTTTACAGCTGAACGTTGTAATGACAGCCTTTTTTTTATTAGCTATTACACATCGCCTTCATTCTTATGCACTTTTTGTATTGCTTGTTTATATTTATTGTTAAACTAATGCGACTGTGTTGAATGTTTGTTCCCCAGCTGTGCGCACGTTTTAAGCCCACACAGGAATATAACTTGCTCCAAATCTACACAAATTTAGGCGCTTGCACAACTACTTTACTTTTTGTAAATAAAAAGCATTCGAGTTAGTGAGATTTAAAATGCACACACCATAAAAATGAAGTGTTGAGTAAGGCGTGGATTTCTGTGTGGGTGTGCATTTCACGTGAAACGAGTCTGCCTGGCAGGATTTATTACCCCATTGGAACTGAAGGACCCAATCTTGCAAGACGCAGGGCTTTTGAAACTGTGCTTATTAAACATCGATGGACTGGAGAAGAGCTTTCAGAGGAGAAGGAGGCGCACGGAAGCTGCTGCTGGGAACGTGTAGTAAGACCCTCGACTCGCTCTCTCTCTCTTTCTCACTCTCCCTCACTGCCTCCCTTCCTCCCCTTCAGTTCTGGTTTGAGGAGATCTCTCTTGGAGCTGGAGAGGAGAGTTCGTTCGTCTCTCTCCTCCAGCAGCCGCCGGGCTTCTCTGCAGCCTCTCACCGCTTCACCATGGATCTGGGAACTAAAAGAGTTGCTGGGATTATCGCTCAGGTCGCCCTGCTTCTCTCCTGCGCATACGGGACGACCGGAGAAGGTGAGCCGGCTGTGCGTTTTTTACTTTTCCCGCAGGTAGCGCAGCAAGTGCGGGGAGTCTGCTTAAAACACGACACCATTCATCTGATTAGAGCGATAGAAACACGGGGGACCGATATGTTTTTGTTACTTTTTAAATTAACATTCGAGCTTTATAAAGAGCTTTCTTCTTCTTCATCAGCTTTCAGCGCGTCTTCGTTGCCAATCAGAGGAAATTAAAGAAGTAGATTGGTTTTAAAGATATTTTTGCCCTTTTTATTAGAGCAACATTTAAGCCAAACGCTTCTCCTGCACAAGTCAACTTCTCTAGAAAACATTCCCCTTGTGATTAAGCCCCTTGTATTACATCTTTCCAAAGATTCCTGATTCTCAGACTCACAGTGCCTCCTGAAAACCTTTGTATTTAGGATGCTGCAGCCCAGAAGGTTTCACAGAGCTCAGTGTTTGTCAGTAAAAGGTCTCAGCTGTGTGTTCAAACCTCTGTAGGCTGAAGCCTTTATGATAACCACTGAATCGAGTTCATCCACTCCATACAGCAAGGTTATGTGTTTGCTTTCTGGTTAATTTTGTGCTTGGCAAAGCATGTTCAGCCTGCCCGGAGTACAAGAGTGTGGGTGAAGCTGTGTGTGTGTGTGTGTGTGTGTGTGTGTGTGTGTGTGTGTGAGAGAGAGAGAGAGAGAGGTTGAATGCAGCTTGTACAGTAGATGTGGGCTTGGGACTGAGAGGATGCTGGGTTACGTCTTAGGTGAAGAAATGTCACTTTTCATCACTGAATCATGTCTGAGTTGAGCATTAGTGAGTCTCCAGGTCTCTAGTTATGTGTCATTGTGGGAATGTGAAGCTGGGCGTTGCTGTTTTCTTCCTCTGCCCGAAAGAAGAGGCGAAGGGGAGAGAGATGGACAAAAGGAGCAGAGAGGGAGATGCCATACGCTTGTACACATTGGAAACAGATGGCAAAATGACTCTCCCGCCCTCCTGTCTTGTTCTCTTTTCTCGCAGCTCAGTGATTTCTTTTCATTTCTTATTTCATAGCTTTCCTACCTTACACTCTTAAAGACGTGATTTGTGTAAAATATTGTTCTCTTCACTTTCTTCTCCATAGCTCTTTTACTCTGCAAGTCCTCCACTTTTCTTTTTCGTGTTCCCTTTTCCTCTCGCGTCCATATTTACAGTCACTGACCCCCTGAATCCCACAGTCATTAGAAACTCTTGCTGTGCAGCCAAACATTGCTCACACTCGCAGAGCTTTATTTGAAATTCAAGTGGAGACCTCAAAGTTTCCAAAGACACCACATTTGTCAGGCTGAGTGTTGCAAGCATGCACTAGACATCCTGAATATTTCCACTTGATAGAAGGGCGCAGTCATGAAAATACATGAAGTGTTGTGCTTATTAATGCATTTGGATGTTTGAGCTTCACTGTGCAGAATGATATATGGGCACTTTGACACCAGAAGGCTGGATTCACTTTTCATCCGCTGAAGGGGGGGGTTGTGTGCCGTTTTAGAGAGCCGATATCATATATATGGTCATCTCATACACGCAGCCACTTGCCTGCTCAAACCTTCTGTTTACAAGGAGCAGCTAGTCCTCATCTTCTCCCCTGTTAAGTGAATTTTCTTTGCTTAAGGGACGGAGAGAGGCTGGATTGTGATGGGCTGCACTGAGACCCCAGTATAGGATATATGAGTGAGCCACTTAGACAAGTGCAAAGTGAAATAATGAAATATCTCATCTTCTGAAATGGATATTTGCATATTTGTAGGTTTAGGATTTCTGAGACACAGTAGTAGAAACAGTTCTGTGAAACTTATTTGTAATTTGAAACATCATTGAGTGGAAATACCAAGTTAAACATAAAAGCAAAGAGAGAATCCTAATGTTTCACCCTTTGTAGACTACCAGGAGCAACAAGGCGCATAAAAAGTCTCTTTCAGTTTGTGTGTGATTTTGTTGTCTAACAGTAATGAGGTAAGGAAAGAGACACACTCTGCAGACAGATGATGGATAAATGGTGTTGTGGAAAGAGTGTAGACAAAGCCGTGTGTAAGCAGTTAGAGTAGATGGCTTTGTAGTTTCCATCCTTCCTCCTTGAATAAAACATCTAGAGCTTCACCAAAATATCAGGCTCTCTCTCTTTTTCCACCTGCTGTGTTTCTCCTTCAGTTGTTTCCTCGCTTTCCTGCTGCTTCTGACTCAGATGTGGTGCGAACTCTCCATCCGTTCCTCCTTGTCCGACTTGTCTCTCTGCCTGTTGCGTTTTTCTTTTAGCCTTCCTTTTGTTTCCTGCCAGTGTCTCTCCACTCCCTTTGTCCTACTGAAGAGATGCGTCTCTATTTGTTTTCCTTTCGAGTGTCTTTCTCTTTGTCCTCCTCTACCCAAATCTCTTCTCTACACCTGGATCAAAGAGGATGTCTCACTGCGCCATCACTGTTCTTCCAATTCATGCCTCCGCATTTCTTCATCTTTCCCGCTCTGCATGTGTCCTCCCTGCTCACTGAGTCCTTCCACGTGAAGCTGAAAACAGTTTGTTAATACTTTATGACCCAAAATCTTTTTTTTCTGAGAGACCTTGCTTCCCTTATAGATGTGTTTCTGCACAATTTCCAGCTCAGCTTGAAGGTGTGTGGAGCTGTATGTGGAGTCGCCTGCCATCGGTATCACAGGAATAACAGACAAGCCATTTGTGCCACCTTTGCACGTGCAAGAAAGCTAACAGGGAAATCCAGAAGATTTGCAGTCTAACACGTAATATGTGCAATTGTAATCCTGAGACAAAGATAGTAGAAGTGAAAAAGTCTATTCTGGTGTGCTGCGTATCTGTAAATGCTGTTGGCAATGCTTATCTGCGGGTTTATTAGCAACAGAGCGCTTGGCCTCCCACAACAATCCCACATTTGAATAAGATGTCTCTATTTGTAGTTGTTGTTGGTTGAAACAACTCAAACACTTAATTTGTGATGTGGCTGCAAAACACCCCTTATAACGGAGCTCTGATTGAAAAAGCAAATCTTTCAAATGTTGCTTTTCTTTTCTCACAACAAAACAACAACAAGGAACTATTTTATCAAAAAAATCTGGCAAAACTTGTGATGGCAGCTTGCTTTTCTCGTCAGAATGAGACCATCACACATTTGCAGTTTACTTGTACGAGAAGCACAAGTGACGCATGAACAGTGGAAGGTGTCGACATGTTATTCAGCTCTGCCCTCGTTGCTTTAACACTTTTTGAGAAGCTTTTAGCTATTGCACTTAAAATAACATAACATATTGTCATCAAATGAATGAACAAACAGCAATGCAGCTGCGTCTTGTCAGCTCCACATGTACGTATTTATGTGCGAGGAGGTGTACCCACAGTAAAAGCTGGGAAAGAAGAAATTAGCATCATTGTCAATGACAGCGTGCAGGAGCTATTACTGCTTATTGCATACATGTTACAATTAGAATGTAAAGAATCACTGGCAGCAATGATAATTAACTGTTAAAGAAAAACATTATCCATCTCTGTCAGGAAGAGCACCCAGCGTAAAAAATCTGCCAGATGAAACATGCGGCGCTACCCTCTGTGACAAGGGAGCAGCCAACAGCAGCTTTTTATTTTTTGTCAAAGCTGCGGTGATCACCACTGGAGACTGACAAAGAGCTGCGTGAGGCTCAGAGCCACAGGTTCAAAACCCGTAGTCTGAACATTTCTCTTCATGTTTGACTAAGAGTGAAATTTACTCCCTAGAACAGCTGCTTAGCTAACTGCATCATGGATCTCCATCTCAGGATTTGTCCGTTTGCCTTGAATTAGCTTTTAAAGTGAGTCTCACATGTTCAGTGAGAGGAAAAATCAGTGATTTATGGAAGCTTTTAAATGATAAGGCTGTTTACTAACACATACTTAAAGCTTAGAAAATACATACAAGTCGTGCCATGGCAGTGGCCTGCCAGTATTGCATGAATATTTAAAAAATAACTGCGACTGTTACAGTCAGCGTTTCTGTCGATCTCTCTCAGTTTTCATTATTTTTTGCTTTGTGGTTCTTTTCCTTGGCTAGGCTCTTTCTCTCTCTCTCTCTGTATCTGTCTCTGTCTGTGATTATCTCGCTCAGCGTGACCCAGCAGCACACTCATCATGCACGGACCATAAACCACAGCAGCATAATAAGTTAAGACTGCAGAGATGGAGGGATCCCAGCTGCAAGTTCTTAGCCTGAGCCTCACATCTCAATTCTCCACGGAGACAGTTCACTGTTCATTATGGAGGTGGCACTAAATGACAACAAAGTAGAGATACATATTTTAACAACCGACGGCGCTCGGATGACTTGTTAGCCGAAGCAGCGAGCTGCTTTGTCACTGGAGTTGAGCTGATGAGATTCAGGGAAGTCGGTGTGTGAAGCAGCTACCCGCAGGGCCGTAAAGCCAGTGTGCATTTAATTGCCTTCCAATATGAAAACATAAAAGAGTCAATGTATGTTCAGCAGCTGCTATATGACAAAAAAAACCCCTAAAATATCCATTTAAGCTCCAAAAACAGTGAGTAACTGTTTATCGGCTGGAGCCTCGAGCCTCAGGTCAGTTTTAGGTGTCAGAATGAGGTAATGAGAATAAAACCCTGCAGGTTTTAAACAAACTGTTAGCAAATCTTGATGTGGATAGAAGTGCTTTTTTCTAAATGCAGGAGTACAAATGGAATTGAAAATTAGAATATAGAAACATAGAATCTGTAGAATTTGTAGAATTTGTCAGCTGCCATTGGTGCTTGAATTGGGTTAACAATGTGCTGTCAGTGCACCACTATTCCTGTTTGAAACATGTTTTTGCTCCATTTTGTTGTGTTGAACACAGAGATATACATGCAGAATGTGGAAAGTTACTCTCATACACCTCCTACTGTCTGGAAGAAGGTCCTAACTATAGGCTGTACAAAAGTTGGACATGAAAAGTGAAGCCAGTGTAAACCTGCAGACGTTTTAATAGCGATCAGGGGACAATACCCATGATTTTCTG